ATATATATATATATATATATATATATATATATATATATATATATATGTATATATATATATATATATGTGTGTGTGTGTGTGTGTGTGTGTGTGTGTGTGTGTGTGTGTGTGTGAGTGTGTGTGTGTGTGTATCTATAAATGTGTGTGTATCTATGTGTCTATGTATTTATGTATGTATGCTTGTATATATATGGGCGTATATGTGCTTTTAGTATGTTGTCTGTATGCGCTGGTATAAGTGTGTATGTGCTGGTAGTTAGTGAATATTCATCAGCAGCATACTTCCTAAAAGTAGTGCATTCTACTAAAATCGTTACTAAAAGTACAGACGAAAACAATTATGTATGAGATACCAAGTATACTCTGGAGTGTGAATAATTCTAATTTTAACTATTTATCGCATAATGATTTTCTTAAAATAAACTAAATGTTATTAAAGAATTAATGAAATAAAATACTATATAAATTATTAAAATGTATTATTTTCAAAAATTGGATTATGATATTAAAAAAGGTAAATATATTTTTAAAAATTTCATTAAAATTTCTTTTGTTTTTTGCTGAAATGCAATAAAAATAAATCTTATAGTTTCTATTTTGATTTATTGCATTTTTTACTCATTAAAAATATTAACAGTCAATTTTTTTAATTCTGGAAGAAACAAATATTTTTACTGCAAAAAACAGAATTTATCCCACAAAAAATATATTGGTAAAATGTGTTTAGTAAAACCATTAGGTTTGTATAATAACAGTGAGGTAGCGTATGCAATAAATTTTTCTTTACTGCACAATTTGGTGCATTTTCTATTTAACATGAGTATATGAGTCAAAAGCATAAATGTGAACTGGCATAAATGCGAAGCAGTTTCAAAATGTTACTAATTTGCACTGGAATAAGTACGAATCGGCATAAATGCAAGCTAGAATAAGTGCGCCAAAAGAATTTGTAAACATTGGCAATAACTGGCAAACTGGTCTAAGTGCAAAATGCCAATTCGCACTTATGCTGCTTTGCACTTATTCCAGTTTTTGTAACTGCTTAATACTTATGCCAGTTTGCACTTAATTGTTTTTTTGCAATTGTTTTGCATTTATCAGTTTGCATCTATGCCAATATTTGTGCCCCGAATAAAATTGCAAATATTGGCATTAGTGCAAATTGGCATTTTGCACTTATGACAATTTGCACTTAGACCAGTTCGCACTAATGACAATGTTTGCAAATTCTTTTAGCGCACTTATACCAAATCCCACTTATGCCAGCTCACACGTATGCCAGTTTTTGCAATTGCTTTGCACTTATGCCAGTTTACACTTATTTAAACTCGCACTTATTTTCCCGAATAAAACTAAAAGTTCCGCCAAATATAAAAATAACGTAAGGTGAGGTAACGTTTCTCAAAACGCATTTTATTATAGGGCTGAAATTTTGAAAGACAACTTATGTGAAGTAGGTGACCATTTTTACAAAGTATTTTAAAATAAGAAATCACAAAAGCCAGCATTATGTTAATGTTAATTAAAAAAAATAAGTTTGGTAAAGTATTAAAGATCAAAATAAAGATCAAAATAAATTTGAAACTATGTAAATAAATTAAAAAATAGAGAACTAAAAGAAAGCATTCAATGGCACAAACACATAGTGTGTGGAGTTTACCTCAAATCTGCCTAAAATTTACTTGGTAATGTGCATAATAAGTTACTTTTATTTGTATTACCAAAAAATTATAGTTTAAATAATTTATCTTTCTACTTTGGTAGGCAAGGAACAACCAAAAAAAAAAAATTTTGACTTGTTTTTTATATTGACGATATTGAAGAAGACAATAGGTCTTATCGAAAAATATCACTTTATCCATAAATCTCATAAATTTTTTTATGGTTATTCTCAAAAATAATTCATCAACGATTTTAAATAGCAAAATAAAAAAAAAACTAAATTAATCAACTTTATTTGCTAACACTCTAAGGAGTGTTATAATCTCAACGCAAATCAAATGTCACGCCTACCATTAAAAAAAAAACAAAGTCAAGATTTATATTTACAAGGCTGTGTCTCTCACCTATACCGTGCAAGGTGACAGAGAAAATTAATATAGATTGAATTATGAAACACTATGCACAATTTAATATCAAAGTCTTAACATGGATTTGTACATAACAAAGATCGAATTGAATCCTGTAACATTTTTACGGTAGCAGTTTATCGTAGATTGACGTAAGAGCCATGTTTTCATCAACGATGGTGAATGTCCTTTTTACCATACCAAGGATTTTTAACCAACGAAAGAAAGTAAAGATCAACGAAATTAGTCTGTAAAGTAAAGTCTGTAGAATTAGTCGATAATGTTTTAGAAAAATTTTAGTATCGTTGCCAAATACTTCAGAAGTTTGGGCAAGATAGTTTGTAAAAAGAATAAAGAGGAGCGGGCCGAGAACAGAACTTTGAGGAACACCACTAAGAACATCAACTCAGTCAGAGCTAGTATTGTTAATTGTAACGCGTTGCTTTCTACCTACTAAGAAGGAATTAATCTATTGTAGTAGTTTGCCATTTGTTTCGAATTATTTTAATTTTATCATGAGTCTGGTGTGAGCTACGGAATCAAATGCTTTAGCAATGTCGAGATAGATTACATCTATAAACTAGTGCGATGCAAGGGAAGACAAAATAATATCAAAAGTTTCTATTAGATTGGTTACACAGGACTTATGATGAAAGAAGCCATGTTGATTTGTAGAGAGCAGATTGTTATAGTTGATGTGGTTCAAGATTTTATTCTTAACAACTTTTTCAAATATTTTTCACGCAACAAAGGTTAGTGAAATATAGCGATAGTTTTCAGGAAGTAGTTTACCTCCCATTTTTTACAGATCGGACTATGATTTGCTACTTTTCAGGGAGTTGGTACTATTCCAGTATTAAAAGATTCATAGAGGATTTTTGTAAGTGGAATTGCGAAGCTTTTGGCACATACCTTAAGTATTAAAGGGTGCAGCCCGTCAGGTCCAAAAGATTTGTAAGGGTTTAGATTGGTAAGTTCATTAATAATGTTGGTAAGTTCATTAATAGTGTAAAACTTTGCTCAACAGCGTTAATTTAATTTTAGTTAAAATCTTCTGAAAAAGTGCGTTGACCCATTATAGATTCTAGTTAATCTAATAAACTAAAACTTCTTTATCGTCATCAAAAAGATGCGATTTGCATAATTAACTATTGCCTATATATGTGTGTGAGATTAATAAATTTATTTGAACTCAATGTATTTAAAGTTTTATGTTTTGTATATTTATGGAGAAACAATTTATTCACCACCGCTTTTAATCGTATTTTCAAACTCAAACCTATCAAAAAATACGATATGAGAAACATAAATTTTTTAAATGAGCCGTTTTGTCACAAAATTTAATTAATTTTGCATTCCTTATCGTATAGAAAAACATTGTTCTGCGAAATCTCGATCAACCAACTTCTATTTAAAAAATGTATTTTTTCACTTGATAATATACATAGATACTTCTAATATTTTGAAAATTGTTATTTGACTTGGGTTTTATTACTTTTTTATTTTACTTTAATTTTTGTATGTTATACTTGTCTTTATTTTGCTTGCTTGTTTTTTATAAGGTTCTGAAGACAAGATCTTGTGATCTTCTTTCAGATCCTAGCTTATGTTTAATTGTTAGCAATGTGCGCATTTATACATCTGTAAGTGTATATATGCTTATATTTATATATGCAAGTGTTTTTCTTATTTTAATTATACTGGTATTGGAATTTTTTTAATTGTAACACCATATATACGGCATTTAATTGTACTGTGACATTTTAATGTAAGCGAAACTAAAAAAAACAACTATAATTTGTTCTATCCATCTTAAATCCATATTAATTAAATATAGTTGTCTAAATAAACCATTTCCATTAATTGTCACAAAAAATTTAAAAAATTCCGACCAAAAAAGAGCTAATAATGAAGAAAATCTGCCAACAAACAATCATAACATATTATTAAACTATGTTTATTTTACCTAAATGTTTTTCTTCACTATAATTAAAAATTCACGATTGCTTGTCCAATCACAATTGGACAAGCAATCGTGATTTTGTGGAAGTTTAAAAAGAAAAAGAATTTCGGTCTGGGTTTTTTCGCAACAAATATTTTTATTTTATCTTAAGGCAAAAATTAAAAATTTCTATCACTTTAATTTTTCCCGTCTTTTATAATTCACAGATCATTCAACGGAAACATGTAGTGGTCAGCAAAATATGATAAAACCGCTGTAATATTTTAAAATCGCCTTAACCGAGTGATCAAAACTCAGAAGAAGTTTTTATTAGAAAACTTCATAAAAGTCTTAAATTTCTGTATAAAGAAAACAAAAATCTCTAAGAAATTTAAAAAAAATACAAGCAGAAGAAATCGCCTTAAACAACAAAAAAAATTTTATTAATTTTATTTCATTTAAAACCTTAGCTATTGATTATCAAAGTTAAAATTTTAAATTATTTAAATTAAATTTTTAAAATTTCGATTTTACTAATTTGCCTTAACTACGTCGAGTATTTAAATTTTTGTAGGTTTCTTCGCTTTAAAAATACTATTCCAACAGTTTATTTTAATTTTATATCAAGTTGAATAAAATATTTTTAACTAATAGAAAATCTAGATCAAGCAACGCCAGAAAATTATGCTGAAAATTATGAAAAGTTACAACCTGCAAAATGCTAAAATATTCATTTTTTGAAGATATTATTTACTTTTTAAAGAAAAGTGATTTTTATTTTATTAAATTTTATCTTAGGTAAAACTTACTTTTACAAAAATAAAAACAAAAATACAAAAATGGGTAATCGCAAAAATCACACAAAATTAAAAAATTTAGTGATAAAAAAAATTTACAAAAAAATACATACTTACAACAACATTAAACTGGATTAAAATTAAAAAAGAGAAAAAAGATAAACTATAAATAAGTAACTTGCATTTCAATTCATGAAGTAAATCTTTCATAAAAAATGATTATGCACATAATGAACTTTTAATAAGTTTACAAAACATTTTTTGTTTTTAAAACAAGTGAATTTGATTTAAATAGGTAAGTATATGGTTTTGAGATTATAATTTATAAATAAAATTTAATAACCTTTCAAAAAATGCGGTTAACATAAAGACCATTGAGTATTAGAATAATATTAAAACTTTAAAATACAACTTATACTTCAAAATAAAAAAATATATAAATTATGATCAAACATAAACATTGAAATTATTTGGCAGGACTTAAAGCATCAAGCACTTTATCAATGTTACAATCTTTAGAAATTAGCAACTGACGCAACCACCCGCCTTCATTGTCAAAACCCATCGCTTCCATTTGTTTAAGAGATCTTTCAAGCTTTGATTCTTTATGATCCATACTTTCTTTATCAACAAGTTCAAAATCATTAGCTATACTTATTGGTGGCTAAATATTTTAAAAATAATAAATTTATTTACCAAAACTACAATGTTTTCAAATCTAAACACTTTAAAAGACTAAAATTAAAGCAACATAGCACAATTTAGCAAGTAAAATATAATACAATAAAGCAAAACAAATGTACATAAATACACTTACCTGTTGAGTTACAAGATGACGATATAGGTGTCCAATAAAATTTGCAAGCCCCTCTTGTGAACTATCAACCTGCAACTCAGAGGTTTGAGGACACAAAGAACCAAGTGGATTTATTTGTTTTTTTATAACTTCAGAAGCGTTGTTTAAATCAAGATGTGGTACTGATTCAACATTGGTGTGACACAGTGAGCCTAAACAATTTTTCTTGACAAGATCCTTGTCTTTATCAATGGATACATCATTTTTATTTGACATATTAGTCTGGTTAACACCTCCATTATTTCTGAATACTTCATTGTTTGAGTTATTTATGTCTGCTCCACTATTTCTTTCATTGCATTTTAGATTATACTGTTTTATAAAATTGTCAACCAAAGTATGCATTAGTTCTGTGTCTACTCCAAATCTCTCATTTATAACCTCTATTAGGCTATTTAACTTTTTACAAAAACTCTCTACATTCTCAGTTTCATCAGATTTTACTTGAGAACTTTCCATAAAGAATTCAACATTAATTCCCAGCATTGACTCAAATATTTTGAATATTTCTTTGAAATTATTGTCCATTTTTTCAAATTGAGAACTATCAAACTTTTGATCAGATGCAGTAGAATTTTTCTTTTCATTATTGCTTGCATTTTTATTAGAAAAAAAACTTTCCCAGCAATGCAAAAATGGAAACTGACTGTAATACACATGGTTAAAAGATCGAGGTTCTTTAATAACCAGCATTTCATGGTCTGATGGGTGCTCTCCTTTTTTGTAGCATAATGAGCACAAATCAAAGTCAAAACATTGAGTGCATTTGAAGCGATTTCCATATATCTTAGAATCGCATCCATCACAAGTAACTCCAACATGTTCTTTATTTGAATGAGCTGACTTTACTGTAAAAAAAAAAACCATCATTTTAAAGTACTTTTGTATATAAAAATATAGTTAGTTTTACAAAACAATAACAAGTTTCTTTACTTTTTACATAAAGCTTAAGGCAACTATTGTCAACGCTCTTAAAGGCTTGCTGCAATTCAATATCAGAGGAGATTGAAATGAAATCATTTTCTTTATCTAAATTTGTCAAAAATTAAACCAAAACCAATTCAAAAGTTATATAATTAAAAAATAAATTATATTTACAATTTTTATTGACATGCTCTAACAAAAAAGTTGTTAGATTATTATATAGCAACTTTGTATTAAACTGTTTATCAATACCTAACAGATATATTAATCAATACATAACTGATTATATTAAACTGTGTTCATTAATACATAGCTGATATAAAATACAATTTTTTTACAACTATTTAATAAAAACATATAAATAATATAAAAAAATATTTACTAAAAAGTTTATTAAAAAACATACCAATGTTGAAATTATCTCTCTTTTTATATAACATATAAACGTTAGAGTATTATATCTCTCTTAAATTAAATTTATGTACTTTAATTAAAAGAAATAACCATACCTTTATAAAACAAGTCAAGATCTTTTCCTAACAGATTTGTAAATTCTCGGCGGATCTTATCCAAAACGTATTCATAATTAACAGCCATTCGAATTTCCACTGAAAGTTTACGAATTTCTTCATTATGCTGATTTTTAACATAATAAACTTTCATTTGTACTTCTTTCTCAAATAAAGACATCTTTAATTTTATTCTCCAGCAAACGAAGTTGAACCTAACTTGTATAAAGATGTTATATTTTGTTTCATTTTGTCAGGGTCTTTTATATAACTGTAAAAACCCTTAGTCATGATGATTTTGTTTATTTCTTTCTTTAACTTATTAACTTTTTTTTTCTCCTGGCAAATTCACATGGTCACGATGACTTGCAAAAAACTACGTTAAAATATGTTATGCTTCGACATGGTTATTTGAATTATCTTTAGCACAATGACGTAATGCAAGATGTAATGGTTTTGATAATCTGAAAATCAAAAAATCCTTTGCGTTGACTTGAAACTAAGATATGTATGAAGAGTCTCCATACATTTCTCCATACATATAAGTCTCTATTGGAGACTTATATGACACCGATACATTGATACTATACAACTTAGATTGTAGTAATTAAATAAGAAGTTTTAATCAATAATATTATTATTATTATTTATTTCAGTGATCAAGTACAAATACAATAATCCATTTATAATTTGATGAAGAGGTGCTACACCATGCCCCTCTATGCTGACGAACATGGAGATACAGACGCTACAGACAAAGCAGCAGTTGTATCCAGGCCCGCAGCGACCCTTTATGAGGCCGGGGGTCAAAACTTATCTAGCGCCCTGTCATATTGATCTATTTCTAAAAAGTTTTGGTACTGTCAAAATACTGTCTTTTTTTTTCTTTTTTTTTTCAACTAAATTTACTTTTAAAAGCCGAGGGAGGGGGGTACATACAGTCGTGAAGGCTACTATTTATTTTTAAAATAAATTTGAAATTAAAGTAAAAAAGAAGTACAAGTTGACAAATTACTGAACTTTATTATATTGCAAGTAACTATGAGTTTTAAATGTAATAGATATTTTAGTTGCTTCATGATAATTTGACTCTACGGGCATAATTTAAAACAAAATTTGGAATGACCTTGTTGTAGTACAGACTTTTTGCAAGATTGTTTTCAATAGATATAACTAAGAAATAGGTAAGCCGGTCTTGACTTATTGTAGATCTTAATGTTGTCTAGACCAAGCTTACTAAAAGATCCCTCTTTTTCGGCAATGGAAACGATAATCGTGTTAAAAATACGTAACAAAATGCATATTGATTCGAAAATAGACTCTAGATCTTTTTCATAAATTCTATTTAATAGCTTAATTGAAGTGAGATATTCTTTTGGACCGAAAAGCTTGGTGTGCTTCAGAATACCCAGATGATGGACCTTTAAGGTGGCTCACCCCTATTAAAAATCAAAAAAAAAATTTTTTTTTTTTTTTTTTTTTTTATGCTATTTCAAACATTGAAGAACAAAATCCATAATCAATTTTTACTACTATGTGCTTTAAAAGTAACAAAAAGTACAGCTGTTGTGGTCAAAGCACTTTCCTTTTCCATAGCAACGCCATAGCAACGGTGTAAACAACAATTTCATTAACTACTTCTTAAAGATTTTCACTAGAAATTTTGAAGTATTTCTCTGTGTTAGATCTATTATGCTTTTCTACTGTTCTGCAAAGTATATCGTTTTTAAAAAATGTGCTTTGTTTCATTATTCTGTCTGTCTGAATTTCATTAAACTGTCTGTCTGAATTTAACTGAAAGCTATCTAAATCTAAATATGGCAAACAAAAGAAATAAAGTTAGAAGTTTAAAGAGAAAATATCAAGGAAATAGATATTCAAGGAAAGAAAAGGATGTAGTTGATTGTAGCAGGAAATCAGAAACAACAAGTGCATCAAAGCTTAAGAATAAACATAACTTTAATGGTGCAACGAATTGTGATTCTGAAGTCGACAATTTTTTTTTTATATGTAACTTTAGAGTTATTAAAAATATATTTGAACTGTATTCTACATGCAGTGAGTGTAATAGCAAGTTAACTTTTTTGCATAATAAATCTGTACGTATGGGATTTTCTATTGGAATTATAATACAATGTTCAAACTGTGGCTTTGAAAGTACATTTTATTCATCTCCAACTATAAATCAAAGTTCAAAACCTGGTTCAAACCCATATGAAATAAATTTGCGAGATGTTATGGCATTTCGTGAAATTGGACGTGGTAATGAAGCTATGTCTACTTTTACTGCTATAATGAATATGCCTCCACCTCTTACGAAACACAGTTATAATCTTACAAACAATAAATTACATAAAGTTTATAAGGAAATTAGTTTACAGAGTATGAAAGCTGCTGTATCAGAACTAAGAGAAATTTTAAATGCAAATGCTTCTGATGATGAAATTATTGACTGTGGCATATCAATAGACGGAACATGGCAACGTCGTGGATATTCTTCCCTAAATGGTGTTGTTGCTGGTCTTTCACATGAAAATAAAAAGGTGATTGATGTTTTTTCTTTATCTAAGTTTTGTATGCAGTGTGAAGTACATAAAAGAATAAACAATCCAATTGATTTTGAATGATGGAAAGCTACACATAATTGCCAGGTTAATCATTTTAGCTCAGCAGGGTCAATGGAAGCTGCTGGAGCTCAAGAAATATTTCATTCGTCTATACAAAAGTATAATTTAAGATATACTAAATACCTTGGAGACGGTGACTCAAGTTCATTTTCTAATGTTGTTAAAAGTAAACCATATGGTGATTGTATTATTGAAAAACTAGAGTGTATTGGCCATTATCAGAAAAGAGTAGGCTCTCGTTTGCGTCAAAAAATTAAAGACTTTAAAGGCAGGTTGTTAAGTGACGGCCTAAAAATATCGGGAAAAGGAAGATTAACCAATAAATCTATTAACACAATGCAGAACTTTGTTGGAATGGCTATAAGACAAAATAAAAATGATCTACTGTGTATGAGAAATTCTGTAATAGCTGTACTTTACCATTGTACAAATTTTCCCTATAAAGTTACTCGTCATCAATTTTGTTTAAAAGGGAAAAACAGCTGGTGCAAATGGCAATCAGATAAAGTTACAGGTAAAACAAGTTATAGACAAAAAATTAACTTACCTGTTACAATTATGGAGGAAATTAAACCTATTTTTCAAGAACTGTCAAACCCTGAAATGCTAAGAAAGTGTTTACATGGAATGACACAAAACTGCAATGAGTCATTTAATGGTTTCATATGGCAGAGATGCCCTAAAGCTACTTTTACTGCAAGAAAAATTCTTGAAATAGCTGTTTATTCTGCTATTTTAAATTACAATGATGGATTTACTTCTTTAAGGTATATTTTTAAAATGCTTGGGTTTACTGGAGGTATTTATTTCGAAAAAGGAGCTTTCAAAAAAGATAAAAAGCGACTATCAAGTATGTCAAGAAAATCGACTGACATGAATAAAAAACGAAGAAAACATTTAAGATCTATAAAAAAAGGTTATTTAGACATTGAGAAAGAGAATGAAGATGTAAACTTTTATGCTAGTGGCAGTTTTTAGTAACTTTTCACAAAAACACTTTTCTTTTTTACATTGTTTTATTTTTAAATGTGTTTTTTAGGACTTTCTTATTTTTATACGGTTTTCTTACAAAAACATTAATATCTTCAGTTTGGTTAAAGCTTTTATCTTCAAATTTTCACAGTATGTGTATTAACTTATTTATGAGGGCTGGAACTAAAATTGTAATATTTCAAGTATAAATAAATTATTTTCAATATAGTTTGTTAGACTGACACTGGCGATTAATTAGTTTTTGCACATTTATTGCTGCCATTTTAGTTTTTTTCCACATTTGGAAAAAATTTTAGTTCCAGCCCTAAAGCAATTATTTAGCTACCATTTGGCAAAATATAGTGTAATAAGTGCAAATTTTACTCAAGATATCATTGTTTTAGATAAGGTAAGATTTTGGACAAATTATGCTGACTCAGCATCAAAAAATGCAAATTTCATTTTTATTTTGAAAAGTTAAAGTGTTAATGTAAATGTTAATTTCCTTATATAAAAAATTAAAAACAAGTTTAGAACCTTTATAAACAAAAAGTTAGATTTAATGGGGGTGAGCCACCTTAAAATTAATTTGTCGTTATCTACATAGTCACAAAGATTTGCACCAAAGTTTTACATTTCTTCTCCAGGCTAGGTGGTTCAATTTTCTTCACTCGACCTTCTATTAGATTCCAAAAGCCATAGGAATGAGAAACTGTTTGTCATTTTTTCTGCAGCTCGAAATCTGTCTCTTATTTCTTGAATTAAAGTATCGAGAACGGTGTTCTTCAGTCGTTTTTCAAAACGTTTTAAGGTAAAAAAAATCAAAATTGACTTTTTATAAAAAATAAGCTTATTTAGATGCCTGGAATGGTTATTGAGTGATTATTTTTAAAGAACTTTGAAAAAGTTTATACAAATTATAAGTTTCAAAAAATATTTTACAAAGACTTTCTTGTATTATTATTTTTAATTGCGTTTTTCTCGAAATACGTAAAAAGCATCTATAGACGTTTTGAAAATACTCTATTTTTCTTTTATTATTGAATAATAAAAGAAAAATAGAGTATTTGCCAAATAATAATGACAAAAAAAAAAAGAAGATTTTTCTATCCAATTTTGTACAGTATAGTACATTTATTTTCTTAAAAATAACGATATAAAAAAATTAGTTTGTTTTTCTTATGGTTTTTATAACTCTAAAATATAAAAATAACAACGATTGTAACAAACTATAAACAAGATGGTAAAACTTTACTATGCTGCGATTCTTCTACGATAGATTTTTTTAAACAGTTTTAAAATTTTACCAAGTAATATCAATAAAATATTATTAAAATAAAAAATACTTAATTTTTTTTTTCAGAATTTTTACACTTATTACTCCCATTTATAAATTGTATACATCACTAAAACATTTTAAGTTTGAGAATATTGGCTTTGGTAATGTATAGTAATAAAAGATTACAAAGCATTGTAGCATAATAAGCTATAAGAAAAAAATTATAACCTGATGTCCACAAGTGTGTTTTGATATAGTAAACTGGTTACAAAAATAAATAACTCTTAACTTACCACACTTTTATGCAGAGCTAAGTGTAAAAAGGTAAAAACAAGAAAAATTGCAAAAATACACGTTCATGTTGTTGTTTATTACCATTTCAAAAGAAAATACATATAAAGCACATGTTTGTTGATATATAGCTTTTAACCTGAACAAAATATTGGTTATTGTATTCTATAATTGGTAAAAAACGTTTACTTTTTAATAGCAACTGATGGTAAATAAAATTAAATAAAGCAACAAAAATTGATA